GAGCTTTAACCTCACCTGCATCATCAATCCAAAAATACTCTCGTCCAATCTCACCAGAATCATATGATATGACATACTATTTCCATCAAGTGTTCCCCCATATTGCAATCAGTTAGTTACTACTGTGTTAAAGATACAATTTCCTTCGGTTAAAACAGCCATTAAGAGATGGCTCTTCACCACCTCATTGAAGAGTTTCCTGGTGGATGTTGTCGTCTTAGTTGTGCATTTTTTTATCAGCATACTATCTCCTCTCCTGGTTAGCTTTAGCTTTGAGTCTTACAACAAGGATTTTTGGATCAATTCTATGTCCACAACCTCTCAATCTTAGAGTATTTCTAAGTGTCGCATTTTGTTGAGAGTTCGGTGAGCAGAGAGTTGATTGCTTTAACCACATCTGCTTTATAAAACTCCTTCAACCTGTATCCTCAATGAATCTTACCAGAATAAAATGAGATGCCAAATTATTTCTAAAACTTCGTTTTCATCTCTGGCCAGAAGAGGGACTTCTGGTGAAAGCGATAATGTCATTTTTTCACAATTTATCTCTCCTTGACAGAGATGATGTAGATGTACTGGGTATGGAGTCCATAAACGAAATGTTTGTGGAATTCCTTTATCAATAATCCTCATCGTGCTCACAGGGGCATAATTGACATCTTTCCGACTCTTCTTCGTTCTATTCTATTCTTCAAATTATTATATTAAGATTTTAGAGGCACCCAATCTCACCTAAAGGGACCGTACGTGGCAGAGTTCATGGACTAGACTAGCAATTACAATCACTCCGTGTCTTAGCACCTTGGAGGAGCTGTTAGCAACTAATCTTATTTTACTACTAATTAGTCATTCTGCTACCAACCAGGTTGAACTTACAAATAGAAGTGATAAAAATAGAGAATAGTAGAGGAGAAGATAACCTTTGGTCACAAAAGTTTATGAGTTGATTACCTCGAGAGTAGACTCGGTAAAAAAATATCTAAAGCCCCCACATCGTGGTGGCAAGTTTATTATACAATACTAATTATAAAAATAATGATTTAATTTAACTAAGAAATACAAATTCATACTTTCAATTGCAACAAATTGTAGTTGTAGGATAACCCAAAAATAGCTTGTGCTACGAACCATCAAGTTAGCTGCCATCTAGTTATGTGATAATTTGTTTCTTCTCCACAAAAAACACAGACTATTTTCCAAACGCACTCCTCTTAATAAACCAAAGTTTTTAATTAATTAAAATTTTTGCAATTTTTCATTCAGTTTTTATCATTTTCACATTCGTCGTCTGCTATCTATCATATGGGCGTGTGACTTTCGTTATGAGAAAAACTAAAATTATTATAAATCTAACAGATTACAGTTGTAGATAGATGATGGTGGTGATGGCATGTGATTAAAATGTATATGGTTATAATCAAACATGTAGACCCAAAAAAATAATAAACAATAGAAGAAAAAAATCATATACTAAATTAGGTAAAACATACACATTGTTTAACAATTAAGTTATTTTTTTTTTTAATTTATGTTGACGTCAGTTTACAACTATTATTTAATGTCTTTTAAGTAAAACACCAAAAGAAAAATTATACAACTTTGTCATCTTTTTCAAACGCCCAACTGTGCAATTAGATGATTGTTTTAATTAAGACTTGAGTGCGTATGACAACTTGTTGTCCATAATTTTAATGTCTAAATAAATTTTCTCAAGTAATTTGTTTAGCCTTCACTGTAAGTAGTAAGTCGTACCAAATTCTTAACCAAATTATACAGACAATTTTAAAATTTTTATAATAATGTGTAGAATATATCTAATAGTAGTTTACTCTGTGTTCAAAGAAAGCTCACAATTTCCTTTATTAGTTTAGAAAACTCAGCAATTTCCCGTAAACTTTGATATCTGGAAATTGAGATCTCTAAAACATATACTATAACCCTCACGATCATGCAATGATGATGTTCTCATAATTAATCTTCTGCCAAAACTAACTACAAGACTCTACTTTCGCAATGATAATTCATATCTAATATCTTTACGGAATCATTTAGACTTACCGATAATTGTAGTATTCCTCAAGTTGTAATATCAGCGATTAAATAGGCACTAAATTGCTGTCGAATTGCTGTCAGAGGCTTTTGTATTTACACTGCAATCAATTTCTTAGAAGAGTAAAAAAAATTGGTTATTACATTGCTATGCAATAACAGTTCAAAGTTCCTTTTCCAGTGAACTATTCACGGGTCATTCATTGTTCATTTTGTTTCCACAGGCAGGACAATAACTTTTCAACGCAGATGCCTCATGTTTGGGACAGGGAGCGATATTTTAATCTGTTTTGGTAAAGTCAAAATCCTTAATGTCTAGAAGAATGTACACCTTATGTTGTTATTGTTCTCTTCTTTTCATCCTTCCATACTTTATTATCATCTTCTTATTTGCTCTCTAGGGACTATTGAGCCTCTTTTCTATTCTCTTCCTAAAAACACAGAGAGGCAGACCTTGAATTTTTCGTATAAAATTGCACTTTTGCATTTTTATACAAAATTACATTTTTTTATAGAAAATTGCATTTTTCATAAAAAATTGCAGTTTTCATAGATAATTGCATTTTTTCATAGAAAATTGCACTTTTTATAGAAAATTGCACTTTTTATAGAAAATTGCACTTTTATAGAAAATTGCATTTTTAATAGAAAATTACACTTTTCATAGAAAATTGCATTTTTCATCGAAAATTGTATCTTTCATAGAAAATTTGCATTTTTCATAAAAAATTGCACTTTTATAAAAAAATGCACTTTTCATAGAAAATCTCACTTTTATAGAAATTTTGTACCTTTCATAGAAATTTTGCATTTGTCACAGAAAATTGCACTTTTCAAAAAAATTGCACTTTCAAAGAAAATTGCACTTTTTATAAGAAATTGTATTATAAAGTTGCACCCTTCATAGAAAATTGTACTTTTCATAGAAAATTGCACTTTTCACAGAAAATTGCACTTTTCACAGAAAATTGCACTTTTCACAGAAAATTGCACTTTTCATAGAAAGAAAGTTGCACTTTCAATAGAAAAATTGCAGTTTTCGTAGAAAGTTGAACTTTTTAGAAAAATTGCATAGAAAATTGCACTTTTCAAAGAAAATTGCACTTTTCAAAGAAAATTGCACTTTTCGAAGAAAATTGCATTTTTCATAGAAAATTGCACTTTTTATAGAAAATTGCATTTTTCATAGAAAATTGCACTTTTTATAGAAAATTGCTCTTTTCGTAGAAAATTGCACTTTTTATAGAAAATTGCACTTTTCATAGAAAATTGCACTTTTTATAGAAAATTGCACTTTTCATAGAAAATTGCACTTTTCATAGAAAATTGCACCCTTCATAGAAAATTGCACCCTTCATAGAAAATTGCACCCTTCATAGAAAATTGCACCCTTCATAGAAAATTGCACCCTTCATAGAAAATTGCACTTTTCATAGAAAATTGCACTTTTCAAAGAAAATCGCAGTTTTTATAGAAAATCGCAGTTTTCGTAGAAAATTGCATTTTTCATAGAAAATCGCAGTTTTCGTAGAAAGTTGCATATTTCATAGAAAATTGCACTTTTCAAAGAAAATTGCACTTTTCATGGAAAATTCCACTTTATAAAGAAAATTGCTCTTGTCATAGAAAATTGCTCTTCTCATAGAAAATTGCACTTTTCATAGAAAATTGCACTTTTTCATAGAAAATTGCACTTTTCATAGAAAATTGCACTTTTCATAAAAAATTGCACTTTTCATAGAAAATTGCACTTTTCATAGAAAATTGCACTTTTCAAAGAAAATTGCACTTTTCATGGAAAATTGCACTTTTCATGGAAAATTGCACTTTATAAAGAAAATTGCTCTTGTCATAGAAAATTGCTCTTCTCATAGAAAATTGCACTTTTCACAGAAAATTGCACTTTTCATAGAAAATTGCACTTTTCATAGAAAATTGCACTTTCAAAGAAAATTGTACTTATCATAGAAAATTGCACTTTTCATAGGAAATTGCACTCTTCATAAAAAATTGCACTTTTCATAGAAAATTGCAATTTTTTGATAAGAAAATTTTACATAGTTTTTATGATCCCTTAATCCCGCTCTTTTCTTCATTCTCTTTTCCACTCTGTTCCTATACATTTTCAACTTATTTATCCGATTTAGTTTATTGCGTTTTATGGCACCTTAACGTTTTTTAACTTGCAACAACAACTTAATAAGCATTAATTCAATTGACATATTCCTTCGTTACAACCCTCGTATTACTTTTATGTTCATAAACAACCACTTCTTGAACATTTTGTTATAACTTTGTTTTAAATTATACACAATTAAATTTGTATTTAACAATGCCCACCAATGTTTAAAGGAAACTTTTCAAAAATGTAGACTACAATACACTTTAATTTAAAAACTAGCCGCTTATAATATAAACGAAATATCATAAAAATACCAATTTAAATAAAACACAAAATTAGCTATAAATAAAAGGCCAACATATGCAGAGCTAAATGTGTAGCAATAACGTCTACTAACTTTATGAACCTTAAACAAAAGTGAATGTTTTTAATATGGAATGAAAAGGAAAAAACGCCAAAGATTTGAACCATAAATCCTAAAGAAAGGAAAAAAGAATGGCTTATTAATGCAATTATTACAAACCAAATATGAACTTTTTTTCATACATTAAATATTAAATACAAAACAACAAATTGAAATTTCGTAAAGAATATAAGCGGAAGCTTTTAGTAACCATAAAAAACGGAAAGAAGTGTAACACAAAGAAAATAAACATTTGTTAACATTTTGTTATGCCTGAGAAATTTAAAGATTTACTTGGAATAAATGTTTAATTAAATTGCACGTTTAAATGCTGAAACTCGACAACAACAAACACTTTTATTATAGAAGAAAAAAAATCAAAGAGAAAGGGAAATAAGCCGCAATAAATTTAATACACTGGTTGGGTAAATAATTTAGTTTATAGTTTATTATTTATTATGTTTTAAAAAAACTGAATTTTTATCATTCATTCACAAGTTGTTAGGTCTATTTGTTTGCTTGTTGCTTATATCTTTAAAAAAAAGTGAGAAAATTATAATAAAAATACAAATAAAAAAAGATGTTAGGTAATTTTCAAATACCTATGAAAAATTAAAGAAATGAGGTGAAGTAAATACAAGTTGAGACAGAAATTTTTTTTTATACGTGTTAGAAAAAATATTTAACTCAATTGCTTTTCTTTCAGAGTTTGGAATAAAAAATTACTGGCCCTATAATGTTGGCGAAATATTAAGGAAAACGTTTTAAAAGAATATATAACAAATTAGTTGCAAACCAGTTAATGTCTTAATTTTAGTAATTTATTCTTTAACTTCAGCTTCTTTAGCTGCTGGCGTTGATGTGGCTGCCTTTGTGGTACGTTTTGGTTTGGGTTTCGAGGGTGTGGCTGCGGCAGGAGCAACAGGCTTATCTTTTTTAACTTCTACTTCGTCTTTGTTCTTGTCCTCTTCAGTTTCTACTTCTTCTGGTTTTTCCTCTTTAACTTCATCTTTTTTGCCATTCACTTCTTTAGTTTTATGTTTTTCACTATGAAAAAAAAAACATAGATTATTGTCAAAATGTCATTAGAACTCTGTAAGAACTTCCTATTACCTTTCAATGTCTATATTTAATACAGAATCATTTTCTTCTTCATCCTCATCACGTTCATGCGGTTCTACTTCTCTGAGTAAATCTCCCAAATCCTTGTCAACATCCTCCCATAATTTATCTTCTTGACCTTCCTTTTCGTCATTATCATGTTCATCATGATCCTGTTCTTCTTCCTCTACCTCTGCGCCATTGGCTTTAGTTTCCTCATGTTCTTCTTCCTCTTGTTGTTCATGTGCCTCTACCTCTTCCTCATCTTCATTGTCTTTTTCACTCTTTTCCTTTTTATCACCTTCATCTTTTTTATCTGATTCTGACTTCTTGCGTTCCCGAGCCTCCTTGCGTTTTTTAGCTTGTTTCTCTTCTTCCTTGTGACGCAAGTAGGCCTTCAAGTGGGATCGTTGTAGACAATGTTTCTTAGTATAAGCTTCCAATGTACCCTTGTCAGCAGAATAATGTTCACAGATTTCACAATAGAAAGCAGTGATTTCCTTAACAAATTCAGCTCCCACTGGTGTTCTCTCTTTTTCTTCGCTCTCTTCACTGTTCTCCTCATTTGTTTGGGTTTCATTGAGTAAAGCTTCCATGTCAGCATCCATTTCTTCATCAATTTCTCCCACTGAGTCGACAGTCATGAATTTATTCAAATCAATTTCACGCATTTCTTCGTCGCCGCTATTTTCCGTATCCGAGTCTTGTTTGCGGGCCTTGTTCTGTGGAAAAATAATAAAAGGACTTTTTAATAAATGTTCATAGAAAATTGCATTTTTCATAGAAAATTGTATTTGCATTTTTCATAGAAAATTGCATTTTTCATAGAAAATTGCATTTTTCATAGAAAATTGCATTTTTCATAGAAAATTGTATTTGCATTTTTCATAGAAAATTGCATTTTTCATAGAAAATTGCATTTTTCATAGAAAATTGCATTTTTCATAGAAAATTGCATTTTCATAGAAAATTGCATTTTTCATAGAAAATTGCATTTTTCATAGAAAATTGCATTTTTCATAGAAAATTGCATTTTTCATAGAAAATTGCATTTTTCATAGAAAATTGCATTTTCATAGAAAATTGCATTTTTCATAGAAAATTGCATTTTCATAGAAAATTGCATTTTCATAGAAAATTGCATTTTTCATAGAAAATTGCATTTTTCATAGAAAATTGCATTTTTCATAGAAAATTGCATTTTTCATAGAAAATTGCATTTTTCATAGAAAGTTGCCTTTTCCATAGAAAGTTACCTTTTCCATAGAAAGTTACCTTTTCCTAGAAAGTTGCATTTTCCTAGAAAGTTGCATTTTTCACAGAAAGTTGCATTTTTCACAGAAAGTTGCATTTTTCACAGAAAGTTGCATTTTTCACAGAAAGTTGAATTTTTTACAGAAAGTTGCATTTTTCACAGAAAGTTGCATTTTTCACAGAAAGTTGCATTTTTCACAGAAAGTTGCATTTTTCACAGAAAATTTAACTTTTTATGAAAACTTGCACTTTTCGCCGAAAAATTCGACTTTTCCAAAAATCTTTTTTTTTTTACAAATCAAGCGTAAAACTCTTCCAATTCTACTTACCCTTATATGTTCCAAAGAACAACGATGAGTCTCATACAATATAGGACTCTTGAAAGCCAAATGACAAGTGGAGCAATATGGCATAAGGAATTTTTTCATAATTTTATGATGTTCCGACAGTTGATGCTTAGCTTTCGGTTGCCTATAGTGTAAACGACAAAGATGACAGAATTTCGATTCATAGCTTTCCTTAGATTTCTCTTCGAGTTCTTTTTGAGCGGCCCGTTGGCGAGCACGTAATCTTAAAAGGTGGGCTCTTTGGCGCATAGCAATTTGTCTTAAGGCCATTTTGTGTGTACGAGAATTCAAGTGATAAGAATATTCCTATAAGTAAAACAAAAACTCTAGAAAAACTTTCCAATTAATGTAATAACTTAAGAAATGTCTTACCTTAAATGTAACACACTTCATGTGACAGTGTATACAGGTTAATTTAATGAAACGTGAATTACCGCCACGTCTTGAGGGACTGCTGCGTTCATCACGTCTGGAATTACGGGATTTGCGATCCTTAGCGTCATCTTCATCATCGCTACGTGATGATTTCTTACTCTTTCTCTCTTTGTCCTCTTTATCCTTATCATCCTTTTTCTTTGACGCCGAGCTAGATGAGGATTTCTTGGCACTCGTTGATGATTTATCCTTTTTCGTTGAGCTGCTATCTCCTGATTCCTTTTTCTTACCTTCTTTCTTTTCAGTCTTTTCACCATCCGCTTCGGTGGTTGTCTTATCTGCGTCTACATCATTATCATCGGCATCGTCGGCTTTATCGGCTCCCTCTTCACCCTCTGTATGTTCTTTATCCTTATCGGCTTGTGACTTGCTGTCATCAATTTCTTCGTCGTCACCACCCTCTTCTTCATGTTCGTCGTTGTCACCGCCTTCTCGGGCGGCCGAAGTCTCGTCCTCTTCCTCATCTTCTGCATTGGATTTTTCCGAAGATTTTGCACGTTTGGATTTACTGCGTTTTTTTCGTTTCACCACCTTCCTCATTCTCATCTTTGTCCTCATTCTCCGCCTCGTCCTCATCGTCATCTTCATTGTCGCTATGCTTGCGTTTCGATTTCTTCTTCTCACCTTCATCATCCTCATCCTCGCTGGATGAGGCATTCCTCTTATTACTCCTTGAAGATCTACGTGGACTCTTGGAGGAATTTCTATCAAGACGACGTCGTCTAAGAGAGCTATGGAGGATTATTGGATTTGTTTGTGTGTATTTTAATAGACGTGTAATGTATGTTTAGTTAACAAGGGGGGCAATAAAATTTTAACATGAATTTTTCTTGTTTATTTGTTAAAGCAAAAGTAAAATAATTTGTAGTTAAATTCAAAAATTATGCTCTTATAGATGGCTGGAATTGTCGGGCAAATCAATATACAGCCATTTCATTTGCAAAGAATTTTGAGATTTCAAGGTGTTTTGTGTGTGTTTTTTTTTCGTTATGTTTAACTTAAGGGAAGGGGTTTTGGTAAACTATACAGACTGTGGGAATTTGCTATGATTGATTTAAGTTCAATGTCAAAAAACAACAGTCTTAGTAGTTTCCACATGCTTTGGGGAGACTTTATTGCGTCTGTTTTAAAACCCAAATCCCTGTTCCCTGTTGCAGTTTCAGCCTTAAAACCTTCAATTTTCAACTCATTTCTGAATGTCTGCAAAATTTTGCAATTGTGTGAATAAATGTGGGAGTATTTACCTCGTTAAACGTGCAATTTTCAAGACACGTGCACGATCTTTCTGTTGGGCATACATTAGTTTACGTCTCATTATACGCAAATCATTCGATTCACGGCGCACAATACGACCTGAACCTCCACGTCCTGTACGAGCACCACCTCTGGTGCTGGAACCACGTATGCGTGAGACAAAACCACTGCGTACTGGTGCTCTTTTCGATGGTGGTGGTCCCATGGGAGAACGATGTCTGGGCTTGGAGTTATCACGATCACTATGTCTCGATGAGTTGCCACCACGTGATGTGGATGATACCGTTGGTGGTGGAGGTGGTGGTGGGGTACGATTACCTCTACCCGTTGATGATGTACGTCTATAATCCTAGATTTATACCAGATGATGAGAATAGATTTGTAGACGAGTTTATTTTTATTTAAATTGTTTGTGTATCTTTTTGAACAAAACAACAACAACAAGAACATAATTTGTCTTTAAGAACTTTTGATAGTCGAATTTCTAGAGTTGCTTGACTATTGTATTATCATGTATGTTACAACAACACAACTATAATACAGTTTTACATTTTTGTTTCTATTCATTTGATTATGATTCTATTAAATGATTGATTAATGTTATTCTGGTCATTATTAGATACGCGTTTTATTGCTCTTAGTCTCAGTCTAGAACTATGATTATTTGATTTATTGGTTTTGCTTAGAATGTGGGAAGTGGTAGTAGTAGTAGTAGCAGTCGATTTGATAATAACAACATAAGAGGGTGCTTTGGGAGCTTCAGGAAGCCTTCATACATACATAGTTATAGTTTTTATTTATATTTTTATAGATATTTTCTATTTTAGGAGGAAATTTATCAAACCAAATTTTACCATTGTTTTTTTTATAAGAATTTTAGTGTTCACAACAACATAATGATTCGGTTTCTGTTTTTGTTTCTACATTAAAAGTATTGTTTTCGTTACATGATACATGATGGTCATTCGAATGCACTCTAGCCTTGACTTGCGTTTCATTATTAAATACATTATTTAACATACATTTATAGCAACAATGATTACAGTAGTGCTAGTAGTAGTAGTAGTATTGATATTGGTAGTGATATTATAGAAATAGAATCTTCATTCGCATTATGGATCTGATCTGTTTTATTTGGTAAGACACGCTTTTCGGCATTTGGAAATACATATAAAATGAAAAATGCTTTTATGTTTATTCGCTGTAAGTTTTTCTCTGCAAACCTTCTTTTAAATTACAGTAATTATTTAGATTATATTCTAGGCAGTTTGGCTCAATTTTGCTAAAGGTTGTCTTGTTTTAATAACCAACAATACAGAGATATTTATACAGTAGTAGTGGTAGTAGTAGATAATTAGGTAGAGTAGAGGTAGTTATTAGGTAGTAGATAGTAGACATGATTTCTGATTTTGGAGGATACTTTTTGAAGCCTTTTTTCATTGGGCAAATATGCTATTAATAGCTTTAATTTTAATGTCAACCCAATAAGCTCTCTTGTGCTTTTTTGTCTATCAATCATTGTAGCGGAGAGCATTGCTATTGGTGTGTAAAGATTTTATGTATTTTTTTTTGATACATTCATTTTATACATAATATCCAGGCATGTTTGATCAATAAAGAAATATTACAGCTTTTTTAATCACTGTTTCGATATTTTGTGCTCTTTCTAAATAAAACTCTATGTTTTTTTGCGATTATAATAATAAATATACATAAAATAATAAAATTATTATCATAATTAAGTTTGTTTGGTTAATAAATTTTGTATCTTATCATTTCAAATGTTACTTTTTATATATTTCATATATAATTATATAGTTTTGCAAGTTTAAGCATGGTATGAAAGGATTAATAAAGTGTTAGTAATTGAAATTTAAAATACTCACGTCTTGACGAGATCTTTTCATATCGGTGGAACGATCACGAGAGGAGTCCTAAGAAAGAAAATAAGAAATTTAATATTCATTATTTCAAACTCAAGAAAATTTTCTAATTTACCCTATTGTAACTGCGTTTATGACTTGAATCATGCCGACTGCTGCTAGAGCTATTAAAACGATCACGATTACGTGAATCATAGTGACTACTGCTGCTGCCACCGTGACCTCCAGAATTATAACGTCCTCCACCACTACTGCCTCCATAACGATCTGATGAACGTCCGTTATTATGCATGCGTCCTCCGCTATTGTAGTTTGAAGAACGATAAGATGATCCACGATGGGAAGAGCTGCCACCACCGCGGTTATTATAACCTCTATTGTAACCTCGTACCATTTTCTACAATTTTTTAAGGCAAAAAAAAATTATTAATAACCTTAAGAAGATTTTGTATTGAACTAGAATCGAACTAGAACTGAACTAAAACTAAACAAGTACTGAACTTAAACTATATCTTCCAACTTTTTGCAGCAAAAAGAGCCGAACAGTGCTTCACCGGTAATTTTTAATTGTTTTAAATTTATAAAATTTAACAAGACTCATATTTTTATCTTACAGAATAACTCCCAAACTTATGCGTGACATTCTACGTTTCATTAAAGAACAAAGAGGATTATCAATGAGTCATTAAGGCAATAAGCAATTAGAGAAAAATGCAAGGGAAACTGATTTTTAACCAGTATACAGGAAATATTCAACCTATTTTTTGTTAATTTCAGCTCGTTAATTCTATTATGTGATAACCAACACAACCACACAACTTTACACATTGAAGCGGCTTGCACATGCACCAGCCCACCGTTAAGCCGGGGAATCCTCTATAGGTAATTAAAATATTTTCGAAAGAAAAACATAAAAAATAACACTTAAACTGCAGAAATTAGCTATAGTTTTTAAAAATTATATTTTGCAATATTTTAAAGAAATGCGAATGTAATAATTTTCTGTATTCCCTCTTTTTTTTCATAATTTTATGGCATCTGCCTTAAAATCGATATGGATTTTGTAGCCTCTTTAATTGAAACACATATTTTTCTGGGAAAAACTTACCTGTTTTAAAAAACTTGTTTTATAATTATTAATTATGAACAATATTTATAATTTCCACACGCTTTTGTTAATTTTATGCACAAATTAAACAATATTTTTAGCTTTTTTTTCTTATTTTCAATTGATGATAATTTTCCGTATGCTTTGCAGGAAAAAAATGGCGACTTTGTCAAATCAGAGATCTGCGCCGACAAAAATTAACAGCGGCGGTAGCTGGCTCGAAAAATTTCGGCGTCGCTTAAAATCATCCCAAAGCCGGTTTTCAAAAAATTTCTGATATTTGAATATAAATAATCAGTTAATTTTATTTTTAAAAACGAATCGATTTGAAATTGACAAAATGTTTGTATTTTTTAATATACAATTTCTATAGTTTTCCACCCTTTTATATCGGTCGTTAACAGCAAATTTCACGATGGAATAAAAACAGAGTTGTTAAAAGCATAAATGTTGCCACATTGTAGAAAAAAATTAACCGCTGTTGACAGAAACTATGACATTATATTAATTTAGAAATCAAAGCAAGATTATTTGGAATAGTAGAATTTAGATAGGATTTTTATAAACTAAAATACAGCGAAATTTTTTTTGAGATATTTGTAGTCAGAATAAAAAGTCTTTTAGATTATTAAATTATCGAAATTCATGAGATTTCTTAATTTCAAGTAGATTTTGATTAACATTTTTCGATTTTTTAAGTTCCTATAGACTATAAGATTCTACGTACGACTCTAATTCTCTCTGTTAAAAATCAGAATAAAAATCGTATTATTTATAATTTTTGCGTTTACACTATACCATTTCTTCTCTTTTCAACCAAATTTTGACAGATGATAATACTTGTTTGATAATGTAAATTTACTGACTAACAATCATATATTTAAGCATTTCTATTAATTTTCTTCACTGTTGCATATAAATATACAGTTTGAAAAGCACTGCTCATTTACATTAACATTTTAAACAAAATCAAACCGCTGTAATGTGTATTTTGTGTTGTTGTCATTCTCAAATTTCATTTCTGACATTTCTTCTCTGTTTCTCCTTTTCCTTTGTAACATTGCAAAATCAACACCAAAAGGGAATTACAAAAAATCGTAGACGGATTAGAAGCAGAAAAGAAAACACAGTGAAAAAAAAACCAATTAATAGATTTAATTCTTAATAAAACAAGTGTGTAATTTATTTATTAATTTTATAAATAAACAAATATTTAAACATATTACTTAACAATAAAATAAAATTACAACAAATAAACAAAATTTCGAAGTGAAACGAAATTTACACAAGAGCAGAACAAGAGACTACAAAAAAGAAAAAAAGGCCGTCAAAAATCCAAGTAGAAAAATCGTGAAAAAAGGTGGTGGTAGTAGAGCAAAAGTGATAAAAAACGAAAAAAAAAAAATAAAAGTGTTTAATTAAGAAATTTATAATAATTAAACAAATATCATATAAATTTTATAGTGAATTAAGAGAAAATATCATTTAAAAGTGAATTTGAGCCAAGACTTTGAATTTAATTATTTTGTTTTTATAAATGGCACAAAGTGCGTCGTAGTTGCTACTTGCTGGAAAAAGAAAAAAGGAGCTACAAAAAAAATTAAATTTTTCATATTTATAGTCTTAAAAAACCCAAGAAAATAGTGGTAGAGTGTAGGTGCTGTGTTGGGCTGCTGCTGCTGTTATTTCTTTTAGCTTTTTTATTGCTGTCGTAGGTTGGGTAAACTGCTCCACAACCTCCTCAGCTAGAAGCGAAAGGACATACATAAGTCATTATAACCAATTACTTTTCAAGTACACACGCACTAATAGAGGAAATTTTATATACTTGAACTATTTGGTAATTGTTGCTTATTTGCGCTAAAGTATTTGACAGCAGCTCCTACTCTACTGCTATTCCAACTGCTACATGTTTTCCAACATGGCCAACACTTTGGAGGAACAACAAAGTTTACGCGAATGCGAAAATTATATACAATCTCATGGTATACAACGTGTTCTCAAGGATTGCATTGTACAGCTGTGCGTCAGTCGCCCCGAAAATCCCATACAGTTTTTGCGACAGTATTTTCAAAAATTAGAAAAGGTAAGTGGAGGAGTTTTATTGTGAAATTCTAATATTTTTATAGAATATTACTTTGTTTTATGAAATTTCCAATTAGAATTTATAGATTTCAAAATTTGCTATACGAGGGTAACGCGTTAAATTCGGAAAAATTCAGTATTAATTTCGCAAAATAATTCACATTATTTAATGCAATGTTTAATGCAAAAATTAAAAAAGAAAAATAAATTTCTAAAAACGATTTTTAATAAAATGTTTTTTTAGAAAAACATTTGCACTGAAAAATTTTCTAAAATTATCGAGAATTTTTTGCAAAAAGCTTTTCAACGATAATTTTCAAAAAATAGAACTTTTTTTATAAAACTATTGATTTAAAAGTTTATTTATAAAAGCTTCAACAGCTTTTTTTAACTTTTAACAAAACAGTTTTTTATAAAAGCTGTTAATGAAAAATATCTACAAAAGTCCTTTTTAATAAAGCTTTGAAAACTTTTAACAAAAAAAATTAATAAGATTTGCTAAATATTTCTTTAAAATACTAAAAGTCTTTTTATAAAAATTATTCAAAAGCTACAACAAACATACAAAAAAAGCACTGAACACTGACCATCCACTGAACACTGTTCAGTGCAAAAAAGCTTATTTTTTATAAAATAAAATCATTTTTATAATGAAAAAACTTTGAGCCTATTATGAAAACGCTGGGCAAGACAAAAGACAGAAAGAGCTTGGAGAGCTTTTTTACAGAAAAACTTTAGAAAGCTTTTTTATGGAAACTTTTTGGAAAGCGTTTTAAAGAAAAAATAGAAAGCTTTTTAATATAAAAGCCTTAAAAGCTTTATAAACAGAAAAGTTCTTAAAAGGTTTTTTACAAGAAAATTCTTGGAAAGCGTTTTAAAGAAATGCTTAGAAAGCTTTTTATAGGAAGTGTTAACCAGTTTTTACAGAAAAGTCTAAAAAAAGCTCTTTACAGAAAATTCTTAAAACTCTTTTTACAGAAAGAAAAAAACTTTTAGAGAAAAACAAAACTTTAAAAGCGTTTTAGAGAAAACAGCTTAGAAAGCTTTTACAGAAAAAGCTCAGAAATCATTTTGCTGAAAAAAAAAACTTTAAATGAACAAATGTTTAAAAAGTCTCAGAAAGTTTTTTATAGAAAAAGCTTAAAAAGCTTTTTACAGAAAGGCTTAGAAAGTTTTTATAGAAAAAGTTTAACAGCTTTTTGCAGAAAAAGCTTAGAAAACTTTTAAAGAGTTTATAAAGCTTTTTATAAAATAACTTTTTAAGTTTAAAAATAATCGGATGATTTTAAATATTTTTTCTTAAATTTTTAACAAATTTTTATTTCACAATAAATTTACAACTTGCACAAACCACTTTTAAAAGAAAGTCTAGAACACAAACTAACACACCTTAGACCTACGACGTAAACCTGATTTTCCAGATCTAGCTCTACGTGACATAGCCGAACGACTACGCTTTGACACTCTACCAGTACGACGAGTGCGACGGCCAACTGGACCACACATAGCCCCTAAACGTCTGCGGCGTTTGGGAGCATAGAAAGCCTACGAAAATAGAAATATTAGCGACAAAATAACAAAATATTTCATCACTTACCTCTACTATATAACGTTGTTTCTCTTCATTTGATAAAATTTTTCCATGCTTTGCACCCTCACGCACTGTTTCAATTGCCGTTAAACCACAACAGGTTTTCCTATATTCACGTAAGAAATTCAAAATGGATTACGTTGAACCGGACCTGGTCGTAGACAACGAGCTGCTGCTGGTGCAGCCACAGTTGTGGTGTCGTTGGTGTGGGACAGGCTCTTGGACATTGGGCACTTCTGCCTCTTCTAGCCATTCTTGTAGTTTTACGCGGTGTACATTGTGCCATTGTTATGTGTGTGGGAACGGTTGTTGGCGGAGCGTTAATATTTTCACACACATTGGCATTAGGTTTTTCAAAATATGACTGTATGGCGCCAATTTTTGCTACACAAAATTTTATATTTTCAAAAACCAAAAAAAAAATTCGAAAAGTTTTCCACAAAATTAAATTTGATTTTTTATGTTCTAAAATTTGATTGAATTTTAAAACAAAGCTAGAATTTTTATTTTAAAAATAATTAAAAAAGAAAGTTCATAAAGTGATCTTCCGTTTTATCGTCCTTCGAATATACATAGTCCTACCGATAGGTTTGATTTTAAAAGAATTTGCAGAAATTTGAA